GGGCTGCTATGCATCCAAAATCCCAAACAAATACAGAAAGCCATCAATATCCTTTGGACAACAGCTCTTAGTGGAAAAGGAGACCGTCCAGGAAAAAGGAGCTGAACAGTGACCTTGCTTGTGTCTTAATTAATTAAGACACAAGCACTTAATTAATTAATTAATTAGTGTACATAGATTGTTGTGAGATCCCAAGGTGGGAAGTGCTAAGGAAGCAGAAGTATTATTTATTAAAGCTCAAGGCTCTGTTGTTTCTTTTTCCTCAGATATTCTTCACGTCTGTTTTTGCATTCATGGCCATTGCTACTTCAAATTATTTCAGCTGTCTTGATCTTTTCTGTACCACATGGAATAGCCCCAGGCAGAGGATATGCAGTATCTAGTAGCTCAGATACTGGCTTGGCTCATTGCAGTTATTTATCTTATTCTTTTCTAATTTATTTACTGTTCAGATCCCAGTCCTGCTCTTCCTTTGATTTTATAGCCAGACACCAAATGTGGCTACTGTCCATGGATAGAATTTACTCTGACAGTAAATGCCATTAATGTTTTTACTACCTCACTAAATACACTTCTACAGCATGTGGAAGGAGTCTTCAAGGTGTATTTTAGCAAACTGTATAAAAATCATTGCTAATTCTTCTGAAAACTGAAAAAACAGTTTGGCAGTAGCCATTTTAGTTCCCAAGGTGGGCAATACAAACTGCAATCAAAGAATAAACTTGGGGGAACTGAAAATCAACTGAAACAAAGCTGAGCAGAAAGGTAATTTTGTAACACTCTTATGTTCAGTGACACAAACTGTGCATAAGTTTTTGTCCTCCTTTTAGAAATTACTGAGTGCAGAACTGTGTTCTATGTCATAGATAAAAAAATCACTGAGCTTGTTTCTGCTTTTGGAGGAGTCATTCTAGCTTTCAGTACTTAAAATACATCCCTCTTTCTCTTCAAAAACACAGGGCACAAATCTCTGCTTTTTTCCTCAGCTTAGTAAAAACATAAATAAACCAGGAAATTAAAGACAAAAAGAAAAAGAAAAAAAGAAAGATGAGAAAGATACCTTTTCCACATCCTGTTGTGCCTAAATAGAACATGTTGTAGCAGCATGTAGGATTTCTCAATAAAATGTATCGCAGGACACTTCAAAAGCTGACCATAATCAGGAGAGTTAAGTGAGGAATGTCAGCTTGGATGGGGGATTGTGCTGCTTTTGTTATACATTAGTTAAGCACGAAGGTTTGTGAGTTTTTACTTTATCTTGGATTTTACTGTAGTGTAATTGAACTCTGTTACCTTTTTCAGTTTCCTAAGTGTTCCACTAAGTGCTTGTGTGGATTTGGGTTTAAGGATATTGTAGACAGATCCAGAGGAGATTGAAGTCAGTGGCAGAGGCCTCTGCAGAGTTTGGCTAGTCCTGCCCTGCGGAAACTAGGTCTTCCTTCTTCTTAATCCCCCTGGGATCAGCTCTCAGACATGTGCAGAAATAAGGATTCCAAACCATGAATTTGCTATGGATCCACAGGCAAACCTCACACTTACATCAGCAAAACCAGGTTACACAGAAAAGTGTCTTTGATTGTAGTAGGATCATTCACTTTACATTAATCTTATGCATTAAATTCATAGCCTTTACAGGATTACATCCTTAAAAGTAATTCCAGGTTTGGGGAATCCTGTCAGCTGTGTCTGGCCCCTCCCCATCTTGGACCTCTGTCAGTTTCACCAAAACACAATTTATTTCCTTCAGTTACCTCATCACACCTGAATCTTCATATAGATACTACAGCAATAAAACCACAATTTTTGCAGTGGGATGCTTGAACTCCTCAGACACTAGTATCTCCATGTAACCACACATGATAAACAAATAGTCAACAAACTCACTTCGGTAGATTTTACTACCTCTGAAACAGCCTATACTTCTACCAAAAAACATAAGTTTTTTAAGGCTTCATGTGTCAAATTCTGCATCAATGCCCCTTTAATGGCCACAGCTCTGACAGAAAAACCACCCCAAACCCCATTTAAAAACCAGGCTCCTCACCCACTGCAGACACATGGGCAGGTGTGTCACATCTCTGGATCACAATTTCCTTCATGTTCTCACAAGAGAACACTGCCTGGGGCTGGGGGAAAGGACCTGCAAGCAGGGACCATTTTAACCCTCCCTCTGGGGTGATGTGGGGAGCAGCACCTTACTGAGGGGAAGAGACCTGCTGAGGGGAGACCCAGCATGGCGGGAACCTGGCTGAGGGGGAGAGACCCACCATGACGAGAACGCAGCTGAGGGGAGACCTGCCATGGCAGGAACCCAGCTGAGGGGAGACCCACCATGGCGGGAACCCGGCTGAGGGGGAGAGACCCACCATGACGAGAACGCAGCTGAGGGGAGACCTGCCATGGCAGGAACCCAGCTGAGGGGAGACCCACCATGGCGGGAACCCGGCTGAGGGGGAGAGACCCACCATAGTGGGAACCCGGCTGAGGGGACACCCACCATGGCGGGAATCCAGCTGAGGGGAGACCGAGCATGGTGGGAATCTGGCTGAGGGGGAGAGACCCACCATGGTAGGAACCTGGCTGAGGGGAGACCCATCATGGCGGGAACCCAGCTGTAGGGAAGAGACCCATCATGGCGGGAACCCAGCTGAGAGGGAAGAGACCCAGCATGGTGGGAACCCGGCTGAGGAGGAGAGATTTTCTCCCCATGGCAGGAGGAATCCACCATGAGAGAGACCCTCTCCAAGCTGAGAGACCTACTGAGGGAAGACCTATCATGGCAGGAACCTCCTGATCGGGAGAGACTTTCTGAGGGGAGAAGCATGCTAAGGGGAGATCCGCCATGGCGGGAACACTCTGAGAGGGAATCTACTCTGGGGGAGACACAGTCTGAGGGGAGAGACACATTGTGGGAAGACTCACCATGGGATAGACTTGCTGAGGAAGAAACCGGCTAAGGGGAGAGACACTCTCAGGGGAGACCCACAATGGTGGGGTAAGAGCACATCCATAGCGTGGAAGACACTCTCTGAGGGGAGAGACCTGCCATGGCGGGAACCCCCTGAGCAGTAATCTACTTGTGAGGGAGACACCCATTGAGGGGATGGTCCATTGACCATGGGATAGACTTGCTGAGGGAAGAGATACACTGAGGGGAGACTCACAATGGGGGAAACACGCTGCGGTGGAGACCGTTTCTGAGGGGAGAGACCTGCCAATGCAGGGACCATCTGAGGGAGCATCGACAGTGCGAAATACTCTCTGAGGGGAGAGACCCACTATGGCGGGAAGGAACCCACTGAGAGCATATCCACAGTAGGGCAGACGCTCTCCGAGGGGAAAGACCTGCTGAGGGGTTAGATCTGCCATGGGCAGACTTTGTGAGAGAAGAGACCTGATGAGGGCAGAGACCCACTGAGGTGGGAACCCCCTGAAGGAAAATCCACTGGAAGGGAGAGACTTTCTCAAGTGACAGACCTGCTGAGTTCTCTTCCACCACATGGTAGACTTGCTGAGATGTGACCTACTGAGAGAAGAGAACTTCTCAGAGAAGATTGGATGGAGAAGAGATCCGCTGAGAGACACACTGCAGAGAGGTCTGCTGAAGAGACCAGATAAGGGAACAAACCCGCTGAGATGAGGGGGATCTGCTGAGAGGAGAGAGGATACCCATGGGGGATACCCACTGAAGTGGGCATCACCGATGCCTCAGCTCTGCACGCTGATGCCACCCGGGGAAGCCGCTGCAGCAGAGAGGGCTGGTGGCTTGAGGGCAGTTTTGGGTACTTGTGGTTGTTTGTTTGTGGGGTCTCTGTCCCCTGGCGGGCACGGCAGAGGGCGCGGTCGGCACCCCGCTCCAGGGACACGACAATCCCAGCCCCGGGCCCACCTGGGCGCCCTCAGCACCCGCGCTGGGCCCAGCGCCCCGGGGCGGCGCGGCGCGAGCAGCAGCGCCGCCTGCCGGGCAGGGCGGGGGCGCTCCCTGCCCTGGGTCCCTCCCGGCCCGTCTGTGCCCGCTTCCCGCCGGTTCCCCCGCTCCGCTCCGCTCCGCCCCGCCCGGCTCCGTCTGTCTGCAGCGCGGCCGCAGCTGCCGGCACAGATACGGTGTCGGCGGGCCGGGAGAGCGCGGAAACACCTGTTTCCAACATGGGGAAGGTGGGGAGGGAGAGCGAGCGGTACTGGCCGGCCCCGCCGCGGGCTCCCTCCCCTCCCGGCGGCTGTAACCCGGCCGTATAGCCCGTGGGATCGGCTTTCAGAAAGATCGCATTCCGTTTTTACACGTTCGGCTGAAAAACGCGTCTCGACCCTCTCCTCACGTGTTGTTTTTTTCCACCGTGTCCGTTCCGGGGGGTGGCGGGTGGGGGGCACGCTCGGGGTTGAGGCGGTGGCGGCACCGACGGACCTGAGGCTTCCGACAGCCCCGGGGCCACCGACCGACCCGGGGGCTCCGACCGACTCGGCCCGTGCGGGGTCTGGGGTCGCGGCTGCGGGGCCCAGCAGGGCCGGGATCGGGGCCGGGGCTGCCGGCGGTGCGGGAGCGGGTGCGTGCGGGGGCTCCATGATTTCATCGTCGGCTGGCGGGGACCTGCCAAGAGCTGTTACGCCTCACTGCGATGTGTAGCTTTTTCCTGCCATTTTTTTCATAATAAAAGAGGGAGTGAAGCGGGCTCTTTTCTTTTTTTTTCTTTTTTTTCCCCCCCCTTTTTTTTTAAGAAAAAAAAAAGCCAAATGCATCAGAGAAGTGGGGGAGGGAAGCAATAGCCAAAGGGGATGCCAGTGAGGTGTGGCTTGCATTTAAATATCCAATATGTCAATGTAAGGGGAGTGTGTACGTATATAAAGTGCAGTTCGCATCCGACGGCGGGACACTGGATCCAGCGATGGGAGGCGCGGGCGGCGCGGGGCCGGGCCGGGGCCGGCAGCGCGGGGCCGGGCGGCCGCAGCCCGCGCTCTGAGCGGCCGCTCTGCCCGCGCCCCCGGGGCCGCTCCGCTCCGCGCCCATGGCCGAGGTGGGTGGCTTCCTGGGCGCGCTGGACCCCGACCTGCACGGCTTTCCCCCCGCGCTGGGCGCCGGGCTGCCCCTCGCCGACTCCCCCGGCTTCCTCAACGAGCGCCTGGGGCAGATCGAGGGGCGGCTGCAGCGGGGCTCCCCCACCGACTTCGCTCACCTCAAGGGCATCCTGCGGCGGCGGCAGCTCTACTGCCGCACCGGCTTCCACCTGGAGATCTTCCCCAACGGCACGGTGCAGGGCACCCGGCAGGACCACAGCCGCTTCGGTAAGGGGCCGGGGGGTGCCCGAGCAGGTGCCCCGCACGCACAGCTAATTACCCCGCTAATATAAATCATCCCGGGACGGATATAATTGGCCTCCTAAACAAATGCGCTCACTCCCCAGCAATGCGGGAGTTTTTATTTCCAATTTCCTACTCTCCCGGCGCTCAGCCTTTCTGCAGGTGCACTAAAACGTGCCTTTGCAAGAAAAACTAAAAAAAAAAAGAAATTAATAAAGGAAAAAAAAGAGGATGGTGACCAGCTTTAGCTCTGCCTCTGAAGTTAGTGGTGAGGGAGGCAAGACAGAGACGTTCCTCGTAGGAATTTCTTGGAAATTCCTAGGTTGGAAAAAGAAATTCCTCGCTTTTTTTTAGTTTTTTCTTTTTTTTTTTTTTAACTCCTCCTTCTTTCTGGCATTTGCAGATATTTGTGAGCTGCTTTCTTTTACATGTATGGCTTTGATTAGAAGAGCGTCTCCCCAAAGCGGGCAGGGATCTGTTGGCTGGAGGGGTGTCGGGAGCTGGGTTTGGGAGGGTTGTTGGAAAGGAAAGGAAAGGGGGAAGCTGAAGAGGGAAAAACACTTAAGGGACCTCGGAAAGAAAGAAGATGGAACAATAGGCAGAGCACCGTGGATTTACCTTGCTGCCCGGGATACAGCTGGAAGAATGCCGTGCCTGTATCAGTGGCATACAAGAGCAGTGATCTCTAATGAGACTATATGTAATCTTCAAAAAATGCATCCCAAGCCACAGGCGAAAGAGTACAGTCAGTTTGAGCACAGTCAGAGAAATTCCCGCTACTCCAGCATCTAGTGCAGGTGTCTGTATAAGCTATCAACAAGTCCCATGCCAGTGATCTCAGCTATGTTGTCAACAGGTTGCGAGTCGTGCTCACAAGACTTTATAGTTTTCAAGTGATTTAACTCCTCGGTGAAAGGAATTCTTTTTCTGCCTTTACTTGTTTGCAAGCAGTCAGTTCTGATGCTCCGGGAAGTGCTGCCGCTGCTATTGTTGGAGGTGTAAGGCAGGTTTTTGGAACAACTGGGGAAGCTTATCTTTCCATAAACACCAGGTGTGTGCATGGCATGTCCCTGCCTTAATCAACAAGAAAGTCATAACCCGCGGGTCAGAGTCAGGTACTAATATGCTCGTGGGGCGAGCGTTCTTTAATTACCTCCTGAAAACACCCATCTTTTAACCTTTCATGCTGTAACACACGATGGGTTTCCACGCTCAAAGAGTTGAAAGCAAACCCATTGCATCTGGTTGGTTTTAGTTCAAGCTGCCACGTAGTGTTTCTAATGTATCAGTTCTTTTTCCTTACCTTTGTAGAACTAAACAGCCAGTTTCAAATGGCAGCATTTGTTTCAGATCCATTTTTTATAAAGATTGAGTAAAGCAAGTATATTTTCCAACTTGGAAAAAACATGTTAGACATGCTAAAACTTTTCATGGATTTTGCATGCTGAAGTTTAAGTCACACAGTGATTTCAATAAATCGAAACATTGGCATTCCCTAAGTGTTTTAGCAGTCCACATCCAGCTCCGTAAACTAGACCAGACTTCAGATATTATAGTTTTCTGCTTCAGGCTTTTCCCAGAGGCGGTGTAAAATAAATAGTTATTTGTTGTAATTGCAAGACAAAGCCCCAAAGGATTAGACTGGAATCCTTGCGTTCAGATCAAGCTGGACTAAGCCTTGCTTCAGCAGAGACTCAAAGCAATAATGTATTGGCACACAGTATTCACCATCTGCGTTCAGTAGCCATGAATATTTAAATTCCAATGTTACTGGTATGGTTCATATTAGGATGTCATGTATCGATGCATTCCTAAATTTTGCATGCAACAGTCAGAAAGAAGTAACTTATAACAGGAATAGGCAGCATGAGCCATTCTGGGGACTCCAAAGCTGTGGTGAGGGGTGCAGTGGTAGATGAGAGATTCAGGGAAACACTTTAAAGCTGCCTTAAATCTTGAAGCACCTGGAGAAATACTTAGAAATCCAGGATCAAGCCCACGTGGCTGGAAGGTGCCTGCTGGTACCATGAGCAGATCATTAAGGTGCTCCATGGATGGCTGTGATGCCCAGCCCAGGCACGTGTCCAGCTGCAGGCGGCATGTTGGGTAGAAGCAGACTTGGCATCCCTGTCTCTGAATTTGGAAGGGATTCAGGAATAGGCAGGCGGTATCTGCACCCTCCCATGCAGAGCCATCCCAAAAGCTACCAGATGTGCAAGACATCCACATCTTCCAGAGAGGGAAATAGCCAAAGCCCCCTGATGCAGAACAGCCCCAAGGTCCCAACAATGAGGGTTAAAAGAAGAGATTCTATTGTACCACAGCATTTGGGGGTGTGACTGTAGGACACGGGGAGGTGCTGGCATCATCCACCCCCACTGCCTGAGCAATCACTGGAATTACTGCCTCTTATCTGTCAAGGACTGGAGCTTTCCTAAATCACACCTGTCTTCTGGAATGTGATATTTTATACTTCTAAAAACACAGATTCTTGCAAGAACAATGGAGTGCAGCTTATTTTTCCTAGAGGAGCTTTAATGCAAACTGTGGAAAGCCCTCTAGGTTTCTTGGAAGAAAGCTCATTCTTACACTACAGAAGTGCCCAAATTCACTTTCTCAACTGGCAGCTCTGGCAAGGTCGCCCCCAAAAGGATAAAGTGTTTTCCAAAATGTATCTCTCTCACTGCATCTACTCTGAACCTTTCTCTGCAAAGAAATAAAGGACGATCAAAATCTGGAGGGGTTCTGGACTGACATTAGCACCCCTATGACAATCCTGCTCAGAATGAAACTGAGAGAAATTTGCCAGGGAAATCCCTGCCAGGAGGAGCTGCTCCTTTTCTGCCTCACATTTCTTTTACAGCAGCATTAAAGAAGTGAACCCAGCAGTGCTACTCACTGCAGTGGAAGAGGGAAAGAGGCCTTGAGGTTGCACTGCAGATGAATAAAGGCAGAAAACAAAGCTCTTCTGGGGTACAAACCTGCTCATGGATATGTTACACAGATTCCTAGAGAAGCTGCTGAGACCTCCAGAGAAAGTTTGGCTGTAATTTTGACATTCAGACCACAGTGCACCTGTTGCTGAACAGTTGTTGAGGTTTTTAGCTGAAGCTTTAGGTTTGTAGCCATTAATACAACATCTGATGTTTCTGTACCCCAGCTCCTGAATACAGTCATGTAAGAAGAGACAGGTGCAGGGAGCTGAACTGTTCTTTGAGGGATGGTTTAGAGTAAGGCGAGAGTGTGTGGGTCTGGCCATGGCAAAGCTCAGGAGATTATTCAGTGCTTTAGTGGTAAATGAATCCAGTCAGAGTCTTAATCAAATCTCTCCAAGTCTTATCTGGAAAGACTCAAGGAACAAAGAGAATGAATAATCAAAGTGAGGAAAAAAAGAAAGGCAAGTCCTGGGGGAAAGAAAAAAAGAAAGCAAAAGAAAAAAACAAAGGCATGTTCTACCACAAAAACACACCGCTACAATTGGAAAGAGAATTCTTGAGCTGGCCCCAGTGGCCACTCCCTGTGCTGCTGGGGATCAGATGTACGAAGCTGCAATTTTGTCTAGAATTGGAGTGAGTTAAGGACAGGATGGATATCCGCCCACATATTTTCAGCCTTCACTCTGTCTCCTGACTTTTGTGGGTTCAAGTTACGTTCTTAATGCTCTTTCAACATAGTCATCTTCCATGCATGTCTCCAAGTGCCACTCAGAGATCAGAAAAGAGGAACACTACAAGGGATGTTGTCAGAAGAGATTGGCATGGGCACGTCTTGGAAGAAATTTCATTTGCAAAAACCCGTATCTACCCAACCTGCACCAGGTGAGGGATGTCTCATTGCTGCTCAGAGAAGGAAGATGCTGATGCTCCTCCTGGTTTGGTCCTTGCCAGGTCTTTGGGAGACCTGCACTGATGTGCCTCATACAGAGCATGAGTGTGGGCATACTCAAGAAAAGATCTGGGTTCCCCTGCCTTAGACATCCCTCAGTTTCTCAGTGGAACCAGCAACATTTTCCTGCTTCTCAGAAGTGACAGGAGACAAAAAAAGTGCTGATGCTAAGGACTGTGTCTATACCTACAGAAAGGTCCATCTACCATTCTCCAGTTACTTGACATGTTTCACTTGACTATTCCTTTGTCTCCAGCCTGGGAAACACTCCCCCATTCCTGGGTGTATCTGTGTATTCCTGCTTTACTTTTTACACTCCCTGTAGTTGTACATCTTTCCTCACTCCCTCTTTTTCAAATAGTGTCTGTGCTAATTTCTGGTCTGCAGATGGGAAAAAGCACTCAGCAGTTCAGTAACTCCCTCCTGTCAGAACTGGTGGGTAGTGAAGGGAGGAAACCACCCCTCATCTGCACCTCTCTCCTCCCTGTTTGGGATTCTTTTCAGCTAAGAAACCACAACAGCTACTGAGGAGAGCAGAGCCAGGGTCTGTGTCTGTCTGGCTTGGAAAGGCTGCCTTCCTTGCCTGTGCTGCCTGTTGCTGATATTTCTGCAGGCAGGATGTGTCCCAGGCCAGGATGTGTAGCTGGGTATATTTCAGCCTGTAAAATATCTACTCTGGTCCATAAAGTGTGTTTTGTGGTGTTTGTTTCCCTGTTTGCCTCCAGGCCTTGCCACTCCCAAGTCCATATTTTGTGTCCCCTAGCGCCCAGGGAGGGCTGGGTTAGATGCACAAGCCCCAGAGCAGGCAGAGGAAAGGGAGGACAGGTCTGAGGGTAGGGAGGAATTCCTGCAGCCAGCTTGGCTGCCGGCACCTGGCCATGAGTCTGCACTGCACAAAGTGGGTCAGGGGTGTCCATGGCTGTCTGTGCTGTCCTGTATTTAGGCAGTGATGCAGTGTCATCTGAGAGCGTCCCATCCATGCCCCAGGCTGGGGGTGACCCAGAGCTGTGGCTGCCACTGAAGTCAGCTGGCTCAGGTGGCTGCTTGTCACGCGGTGCCTTAAAACCAAGGCAATACTTCTAAGAGGAGCTGTGAGAGGTAACCTGATCAGAGCATCAATTGCCCAGGGCTGGATGTTTTGGGAGCTAAATTAGGAGAGCTGGAGCCATGCTAAAGGTTAGAGCAACTTTCCCTTCCAGTCAATGGAGACATCAGATGAGATGAGGAAAAGCCTCTTCCTTCTGCCTCCTAGCTAATTAATCCTGTACTGGACACTGGCAAAACTGCCCGTGACCTCGACATAGGTGGTGTGTGAAATCCATAATAACGCAGTCCCACCACTCCTTTCAGAAATTCTTCCTGGGAAGATTGAAGGTCCCCACCACTTGTGGTGTTGGGTAGGGGCTGCTTGGTTTTAAGTGCTTCACCAAAGGTTCTCCTGTTACAAGTCTTCCCCCCATTGAAACAGCTGCAGCTGTGGGGGTGCAGCAGCCAGACCCTGCTGTTCCTTTCCAGAGGAAATGAGGCTGCCACCATCATAGCAGGCTGCAGCCCGTGGGTAAAACAGTTGCTGTTGCAGGGCTAGGGATGGCTGGGACAGATGCTGCTGGACTGGGAAGAGGCAGGAGGCTGGGACAGGCAGCAGGACACAGGGGGCAGATTCTGGCAGTAACAGTGGCAGGGGATGATGGAGAATGGACTGGCATTTCCCTGGCTCTGAAGGCTGTAGAGGAAGATGCATTTTTAACCTATATGCTTTGTTTTATAGCTGGATTTTATCCCTATGGCTTGTATAAACATTTTGGGTTTACAAGTATCCCACTGGAGTGTCAGGATGAAGACAGTCCTCACAGACATCTCTTCTAGTGCTTTTCACTTCTTCTTACTGAACCCATGACTTTAAAACTTGTAGAACAATCATCTTATTCTAGAAGACAAAACAACACTTATTTTGGTGAAGAATAAAACCTAGCATGGTAACAGCCTTCTGACATTGCTAGTGACCAGGCCCAAGCTTCTGCATCTGTCTTCTTGGTGATAATTATGAAAAAAATCCAAACACAAACCAACAAAACCTTGCAAAGCTTTTCTCATTAGCAAAGACAATCCCTCTTAGGCAACTCAAATTCACAATGCTGGGGAGAAGCCCAGACTGGAAATCAGAAGATTGCACACAGATGGAACTATAGAGTTAAGAACTGCATTGTTACTGGGAATGGCTGATTTGTTTTTGTTGCTGGAGCCTGGTGTTGTTTTTTTCCTCTGTATGATTTGCAGGGTTTTTTTTCTTTTTTAGGGATTTTGGAGTTTATTAGCCTGGCAGTGGGGCTGGTGAGCATCCGTGGGGTGGACTCCGGACTCTACCTCGGCATGAATGAGAGAGGCGAGCTCTATGGGTCGGTAAGTTGAGGCTGGGCTGATTCCACCCTGTCCCACTGCAGCCTGTGGCCTCAGCTGTGCCCTCCACGTCCTTGGGTGCCAGTGATCTCCAACCTAGCCTTGATGCCACTGCTGTTTTAGCAGAAATGGTATATAGGAAACTGGGTTTGAGGGAGGATTCACTCCTGCTGTGGGAGCCCCCAGTGGTGCCCAGCCCCCAGACATCACACTGAGGTTTTGCCTTTCAGAAATGGTGTGGCAATGGCCAGGTAAAGGCAGGGAGACATTTAGCAAAAAGCCATGTTTGTTAATGTGTTTTCCCAGCCTGAGTAACACATCAGTTGTGTTCACCTCTCATGGTCTGGTCTGCACTTATCTTCAGGTCTTGTCTTTGTATTACGGCTCTTTAACCAACAGAAGCTGAAATTGTAGCCTGAGTGTTATTGTAAAATTCTCTGTAACTCCTTTTAGGAGTTTAGGGCTGCTGTTCATGGTTTCCTAGAAGTGCCATTTTCAGGCTAAAATTTTCCATGTTTTGACTAAAAACCCCAAGTGTAAACTCGTTAAGTGTTATGACTTACAGTCAAAATGCCAGGTTTTAACAGCTGGGCAGAGGTGCTTCCTACAGGTTAATTTAACTCAGTTCCTAATTATTTAGCTCAATTAAGGGTGGATCACAGTAAAAATAAAATTAAATCAAATAAACCAGTTTTAAACCAAAGCAGAAGGCAGCACTTCCTTCTCACCATCAGATAAGCTTCAGTGTACAAGTTAAAACTCATGTACTCTGCATACACAGAAGCTGTAAGGAAACCTTTGACTGGCAAACCACGAGTTTAGCTCATTTTTCCTTGTCCCATTTCCACCTGAGACTGCCACAGACCCTTCCACCATTTAAGACACAGCTGCTGATGTTTGTATGAGATAGTTGTCCAGGGAAGCTGTGGCTGCCCCATCCCTTGCAGTGTCCAAGGCCAGGCTGGATGGGGCTTGGAGCAGTGTGGGACAGTGGAAGGTGTCTCTGCCCAGGGCAGGGATGAACTTTAAGGTCCCTTCCAACCCAAACCACTGTAATTCCCTGATCATCAAATACTGCATGCACCAATAACTATTCTTTTCCCACTTCATTTCTGTAACAGCTTCTGGCTGACACAGCATTTAAATGCAGAGTGGTTAAATTAAAAACATGCAAAATATTAAAAAGAAAAATCACCAGGATTCCATAAAACACAAAATCTCCTGAAGCACACTTCAGAAAGCAGGGCTAGAGCAGCACCTCTCCTGTCAAACTCTAAGGCTGCTCAGCAGCTCCTGGAGTTTCAGCTTTCACTCGTGCCTGCTGGAGAACATGAGCCCATGCATCCCCCCCTCTTTGCCTTCAAACCTTGCAGCTCTGATTGTGAATCGAGTTTCATGATGGGTTAATTAAATTCTAGATCCCGTGTTCATGTGACAACACAGAAACAAAAATAGGGTAACATTTTACAGCACTGAATCTGGAAACAGAATTGACCTGAGGACAGTCGTGGGAGCTGTCCCTGCCCATGGCAGAGGTCTGTAATGAGGTGATCTTTAAGGTTGTTTCCAACCCAAACCATTCTGGGATCCTGTGCACCAGGCAGGACACTGCAGGGACACACTCAAAAGGCTGCTCCAAACTGCCGCCGTCACGAGCCAGGTCCCCAAATAACCCTGGAGTTTTAAAATCTGGGACACGTGGGTTGTACAATGATGGCTTTTGGAACTCAAAAGCCACTACAGTATTCTTAATTAAAGGTCCATAAAACAGCGCCTGACAACAGCATTAGCATTACAATGGTATTTTGGGAGATCACAGTACAGCGGTATTTTTAAATTTTCAGCAAGTTTATTATTTCCCTCTGTGCCAATTTTGCCTGATGCCTGTGTTGATGCAGCCAGGGCCAGCCATCCCCACAGCGACACGTGGAGTCCCCTCAGGACACTGAGCTTTTCCGCCTGTCCCTGTTGACCTCGTGCCAGCATTGCTGTAAAGCTCCCCAAGGATTTCAGAAATGCCACTGATACTTAGGGCAGCAAAAGTCCCAGGCAGCACCTTGCCTGCTGCCTGTGTGGTGTCAGGTTCAGTGGGGACATCCCAGGGCTTGGAAAGGAATAAATCACACCTTGCAGAATCACCCCAGACTCGCCAAACATTTTCCACAAGCGCTGTACTCCAAACTGCCCAGTGCAGCACGGGGGAATGGGGGCAAAGCAGCAGCCAGAGTTCAGGCAGTCATCAGGTTCCAACATATTCCAAGTAGATGGCATCTGAGAGGAGGAAAAAAAACCAGCCTGTATTTATTGACAGAGCTGGGAAGAGAAGCCTGCAGTTCCCTGGGTCTCAGATGGCCAAGGCTGTGGCCTAGGACTTTTGGAGGGCTCACAACTCACCTCAGGCTTTATTTAATTAGCAGCAAAACATTGAAAACAGGTTCTGAGCACAGGTGAGCTCCTGGATTGTGTTACAAAACACATCTACTGCAAGCAGTAACATTTACTGAGCACTCAGTGTGCCTCAGAGGGAACACATTCCCTGCCCAGATAGTTTACAGTGGAGGGACAGTGGCTGTAATATTAGAGCACTCTACATTTGCTGGCTGCCCTTGAGCTGAAAGGGCTCCAGTCACCCTGGCAGCACCCCTGTGGGATGGGATGGCTGGACCCTCTGTGACAGCACAGCAGGGCTGGCAAAGCCCCCTGTGTCCTTGTGGGGCAGAGGGACAGCCTTGCTCCCCACTGCAGCCAGGCACATGGAGATGGGAGGCAGAGGGAAGGAGCACTGGACATAAACGAAAGGTCCATCATCAAACAGCCAAGAGCCCCCAGCTGTAAGGGCTGGATGGGAAGGCTGGCAGTGGCTGTGGTGACACCAGTGCCATCTGTCCCCCCACGCCAGTGTGGGATGCACCAGCCACACGCCCTCATCACATCACCTGTCACCACCCTAAAGATCCCTGGGTCTTGTTACAGCCTCCCATCACAGCTCACTGCCACTCCAGGAGGTGAAATCCTGAGCAATGCTTTCATTCCCATCTCAGTGCATCCACCTGTGTGCCCTGAACTTCCAAAGCAGTGCCTGCTCCTGTTTTGCTGTTTAGGACCCTTCAGATGTGCTGCCTGCTGCTTCTCCCATCCAAAAGAGGGGATTTGGGGTGTGTGGTACCTTGCAGAGGGGTTCCTAATCACCCCAGCAATCTCAAACTCACACCTGGACAGGTTTGGGGCTTTGTTGTGTGCCTGTCTGATTTACTCATAGAGCACCTTTGCAAAATCCATGCCCACCTTCTGCTTTTGTCTCCTTCCTCCTCCAACTCCAGAGGTCCTTGGGTGTTGACTTGTGCCCATTTCCAGCTCTCATCCCCAGCAGCACAGTCCTCATCCTCAGGGTTGCCAGGATAAGGCAGTGGGGAAAACACTAGAAAAACAAATGTAGGAATGGTGGCAATGTTTTCTCTTGTGCCTCTTTGACACAAGTGTCTCTGTTCCCCACGGCAGAAGAAGCTGAGCCGGGAGTGCGTTTTCCGCGAGCAGTTTGAGGAGAACTGGTACAACACGTACGCGTCCACGCTGTACAAGCACCCCGACTCGGAGCGCCAGTACTACGTGGCCCTCAACAAGGACGGCTCCCCTCGCGAGGGGTACAGGACTAAGAGACACCAGAAATTCACCCACTTCTTACCCCGGCCTGTGGACCCTGCCAAAATCCCTGCCATGTACAGAGACCTCTTCCACTACAGGTGATGGCTCCTGCAGTGGCAGTGTACATACTTGGGCTCCCGAGCTTTTTCCAAGAGCACTCTATTAATAGTCATTCCATCATTCCTGTAAGAGTAGATGACCTAGGGAAGCACTTACATTGAATTCAGACACTGCTGTTCCTCCTTGTTTCCAGTGTATATCGAACCTGGGTTATTTATGGGGCGGGGGTAGGGCAAGGGAGGGAACCCTACATTTAATCTTCCATTTTCGTTCACTTTCGTTACCCGGTTGCTACAAGAGAGGCTGAATATTCAATGTTATGGTTGCTTAAAGGAACGAGCAGGTGAGCAAACCTGATCACTGGGGAAAAGAAAGCCCCAAAACAACCTAAAAATGAAGAGAAGAAAAGAAAAGAAAACAAAGACCACAGAACTGCTGCAGATGTTGCTGCTGGACTGGGATAGTTCCCTGCTAAGGAAAAGCCTTTGAGTGGTGCCCTGCTTAAGCAGCCTGGGAGTTTGCTACATGCATGATGCTCCATGGACTGGTCCTGAATTGTGGGGTTCTTCCTGCTGTTGGGGTGGGAATGGGGCAAGGAACATTATTCAGATGTAAGCATGGATACTGTGCATAAGGACAAAACTATTTATAAAATGTATATGATATTTATTTTATATATTTATTTATTTCAAAATAATTTTATTTTTAATGAGAGATGCTATGACCGGATTTTCATCAGGAAGAATAAGGTCCTACTGAAACAGGAAAAAAAATGAGTTTTAAGAGCTTATCGGCAATAAAATTGTCTTTATATTATAGATTTCTCGCTAGCCCTTTTTTTTGGCACTCTTCAACAACTAACCCGGTATTTCCCCAGCAACATGAACAAGAAATCCACCTCTGAAAGGGCTTTGTGCAGCAAAGATCAATTACCTAAGCCCAAACTCCTGCAGGAAGATGACATCAAATCTCAGGTCTGGGAAGCACCAGCTCGGTCTCCTTGGGGCATGAGGCATCCCTGTGGATTTACTGTCCTGCTCGAAGCCAAGAGGAGAAACATTTGAAGCATCTGCTGTGTTTTGGATGGACCCTTCAGTCCTGCAATAAAACCATCACATCTTGCATGAGATTTACCTGCAGCACCATGAAAAATCCATGGAGAAATAGAAAGCAACAAGAGCAATCCTAAACCCCCTCACTTTTAGGCAGTTACCCTGGATGTGGGTGACCCCCTGCTGCAGGCAGTGCTGGGATGTTCATGGCTGTGTGGCATTTCCCTCTGCAGAAGCTGCCTGGTCCCACAGTCCTGTCGCCTTTCCTCTGCCTCCAGCTGCAAACCTGATGACATTTGGCAGCCCTGAGCCAGCCCCATATTCCCAGCTGTGCCCAGCAGTGCCAGGGAGCAGAGCTCTCCTCCAGTCAGGCCAGGCCAGGGACACTCATGGGGGAGCTTGGCTGTGCCAGCACAGGCCCTCAAGTGACTCTTGTGCCACATCTGCCCTTGCTGCCTGCCTGGGATGTCACAGACCTGCAGCGAAAGCTTCCAGCAATGGTGCCAGCTCGTGTCCTGTGCCCTGTGGTCAGCAGAGAGGGATTTCAGCACGGTGGGAGCAGGAGTGTGTGGCTGCAGAGGCACAGGCACTTTGCAGCACGAGGAGAGGCTGACAGCAAACAGGGTTCTCTGGAGTGTGCAAAAACCTGAACAACTACAGCTGTGCTGCCTCTGGCTTCTCCTTATCACAAAGTTTTGTCCACAGTGTTGTTTCTGAACCTCCTCCTTGCAAAACACTCATGGTAACACCTCAGCTCCTTCTTCTTCAGCCTGTGAATTCCCAGGACATTTTCACTGACCTAGAGATGATCCACACCAGCTTCTGCATGAGCTACATCACTAAAGGAGCAGCAGCTCTAGAGGCCAGCTCTGCTCCCGACTGTCTCTCACCCTCTCTGCTGCCACCTCCCACGTCCCTTCGCTGTCCCAGCGGGTCCAGCAGCCACCAGACAACAGGCTGGGGTTGGCAATGAGGAGATTACAGGAGCTTTACCTTCAATGATGCAGACATGAAGGAATTTAATCCTGTGTTTGAAATAAAAAGAGTTTATTTAGCTTCTTCCACTGAGTCACTGCCGAAACATCTCATCCCCGGCTGCCGTGCCGGAGCTCCATCGCTCACGAGACGCGTCCTCAGGTGCACTTTTGACCTTCCCCTGCATCAAGGGAAATCCCTCAGCCCTGGAGCCTTGCTTGGCCCCTGGGATGATCCTGCTCCTTCCATCCAGGGCTTTCTGTTGTGCTTGAAGATAAATCTGGTGGTTATGATCCTGCTCCTTTTCAGAATGAAGGTCCAAACCTGATCTCAGCAATGCCAAGTATATTTTTTACCAACTCCACAGGGAGATGATTTGGCCCATGGGGGCAATGCTGGACTTGTTCTTCAGATACCCAACCTCCTGCCACAAAGGCACACACAGGTACCAGGGATGCTGTAAAACACCTTTTCAGGATCTGGGTTCAAAAAACTCATACTTGCAAAAAGCAAAATCCACAAAGAATTTACTGGAAACCCCTTGGTAAAGGCTGGTGTCCTGTCCTGTCCTGTCCTGTGTGGGGCATTCATTAAATGGGGAATTCAGCACTGCTAAATCCCACCCAAATGGTTCTTTCACAGGAATTTGCATTGTTTGGTTCTGGTTCAGCAAAGCAGCTGAAGATGTGAGTGACCTGAGTGAGCTGGGAGCTGAACAGCAGCAGAGGGAACCACCACAGACATGGGGTGCATTTTGAGTGGCACAGGAGGGGGCTGTGATGCACAGTGGGTTTGTGTGGGCACACTCATCTCTCCACCCCATCCTGTCCTCCTGGTACAGCTGCTTCCCCACCTGAAGATTCCAACTGCTCCTTCGGCCTGGAGGTGTCACAGGGCTGGCAGATGGACCTTGCTAGGAAAGTTTGAGAGGAAAACATGTTTGGGTTGCTTGAAGCTAACAGAATCTTCCAAGTCAGCAAAAGGAAACAGTGTTTGGGGTCTCAGCTCATGTAGATTCCATGGGATTCAAAGTCACAACAGCCAGCTGGAAACCTTCTCTCGAAGGAGAGGCAAAGGCTGGGGCAGGGGGTGGATGTGATCCCCAGGAACCCCTGAGCCCAGAGTTGCTCTGCACACAAGGCTGTGGGTCTGGAAACACCACAGCAAACAGGACAAAGGCATCTCTTCAACCTTCTCCTTCCACCCAGGAGGGCTGGGCCTGCTCTGTGAAACATTATCTGGGACAGCTGTGCAGAGCAGGAGGGAGGAGGCTCCAGCAGAGGTGGGAAATGCTGCAGTCTCACTATGGAGGGTGCAGAAACAGAGAGGAGCTGCCTGGGAGAGGCCAAGCACGAGCCAAGCAAAGCAGTGCCTTTCTCCCTGGCTTTGGCTCATGACCCAGGGCACAGGGATGGATTGGATTGTCTGGAGACTGGCATACAAGTGCCAACATCCATGTGCCCTCAGGGACATCCCCATGGAGACCCTGCTGCCTGTGGGTGGAATGCCTGGCTTGGGGCTCCTTTCTCCAAAGGGGAAAAGGAGAGGAGGTCCCAAAGATGGAGAGCCCAAAACTGCAGAGGGAACCCAGAAAGAAGAAATCCAGAAACTGCTGGAAGGCAATGAAGGTGTCCTGGTGTTGTCCCACCTGGCTGCACATCCAGAGATGTGCTGCTGCTGCTGCTGCCAGATTTTGGCTGAGATGTTTCTGGAAGGACACCCAGGGATGGAGCATTCCTGAAGGAGAAGGGCTGAAGTTTGTGTTGGTGTGGACACAAAGACACCTGCACCCCTTGGATCAGGGCTGGTCATTGCTTTCTCCAAAATTGCCCCAGAGCTGCTGAATTCTCATCCTGGAGAACACCAAGGCTGTCACCTCACACCTGCACTGGGGGTGAGCAGGAGCCCTGGGAAGTGAATTCCAGGGATTCTCAGGCTCTTCCCTTGCTGTGCCAGGAGGTGTCAGGTGCCAGGAGATGCCACCAAGCAGGGCAGGTCACCACACCAGACATGGCCAGGGCCTCTCTTCTCCACTGCTTGTGGGCATGGGGAGAACCCAGGGAAATGGGCACACTGAACTCCTAAAGCAGCTGGAGTGCCCGGATCGGGGTTTGAGGGGTGCCTCAGGTACCAGTTCCTGTCTCACTCATTCTCAAGCAGGGTCTGTGCACACAGGGCCAGGGGGGTGTTTGAGTTCAGACCTTGGAGGGGCTGAGCACAGACCCAAGGGGTGACCCCACCTCCCCCTGTGCCCCTGCCCTTCTCCAGGGCAATGTCCCCACTGGGGCCACAGCCCCTTCCAACACCCCTCCAGTGCCCCCAAAGCCACCCCTGGGGAAAGCAGAGCAGGAGCTGTGGCTGCATGAAAGGGTCACACACAGGATGAACTCATCCCACTCACCCCAGCCACACACAGCAGGGCAGGAGCTGGTCCAGACCCTTCACAGCAGCACAGCTTTGCCAGAGCCACATTTGGGATTATTCTGGTGCCCAGGCCTCATCCCCAGGGTGGGTTCCACAGCACAGAGGGTGCACAGGGGGTTATTTGACACCTGAGCAGGTCTGGGAAGTTCAGACACCACGTGGTTACTGGTGCTGGGCTGCAACACCAGCTTTTTTCCACACTCCTCCAGCTGGGAACATTTAGGATGTTTGGCTTTCCATAAACATTGAAAATCTATCCAACTTCAAAACTGTTTTTTGCTTGAACTGATGAATTTAGTTTCATTTACTGTGTGGAAAGTGGTTCTGCTTTTAAGATAAAGGCAAAAGCTGCTCAGGCTGGGCACAGCTGACACAACAACGGGGCTGGTCAGTGTTGGGACACCTCAGCCCAACATTCTGGACATGGGACTCATCCCAGGACACTTCCCAGCCCAGCACAGACAGCCACATCCAGCCTGAGCTGCCCACTGCCTCCCATCAGTCCCAGGGATATTTAAAAACACGCTGCCCACAGGGCCCCTTGGAGCACAACTCCAATATTTCCACCTCAGACACCATTCCCACCTCCCTCAGCTTTACCAAGACCCCTGGGCAGCCCTGCAGTGCCAGGAAACGAGCAGAGGGCGCCTTTAAACACAATTATTGCACTTTCCTTTGCATAGGAAAGGGGGTGTTGTGCCCAACAGGGGGGATTTAATAACTAAGGACAGGACAAGTACAACTACCAGG